CGAAATGGAAGCTTCTTGCAGGGCACGGGGAAGAAGCTTTAGGCAGAGCGGCAGGCGTACGAGGAGGGGACCTCGGGTCGAAGCTGCTCGAAGAAGAGGGGGTTCGACTGTGACCGAACTGAGAGGGAAAAAATTTAGGGCATGCGGCCTGGTTCGCGAGAGAAGAGCCACGAAATGAGGGAGTCGTTGATCGGGTGCGTGAGTTTAGGGATTAGGGATTTTAAAGTGAAAAAGAAATTTTTTTTAATTAATATTGAACATCCATGATTTGCGCTCTATTCTCTCGTGCACGAAACTACAGCAAAGTGGGTGTCCTTCCCAGCTAAATCTGACGTTTCAGACTCGAAGGCGCAGTCCGTTTCGTCATCTGAGGTCATTTGGGTAACCTCACCGACGATCGGGTCAAAAGAACGTGTCAAATTCGGTTTTCGTCAAAATTCTGGCTCGTGATCGATTTTTCAAAATTTTATTTAAGCTTTTGACAAATAATGACGCAGACGATGCGAATTGTAGTAATCGAACGTGTCGACTGTTTGAATCGCAAAGTTTGTGCTCGCGAAGGTGCAAGTTGTGCATAAGGCAATCCTAGGGCTTAGTGATCCTATAGGGACTTTTTTTGGGTTTTCTCTGGTTGGTTTCAACCTCCTAAGTGCTAGAGGCCGATGCCACACATGCGAAACTCCTAAAGGGTGAAGATGTAGGTTGGATTTCTAAAATGAGGCGGGTCTTATTTCTAAAGCTCTAAGATAGTCAAAGAGAGAACCCTAAGATTAGACCCTAAACCCTAAGAAGAAAACTAGGCCTTACTAAAAATGAGGTCAACATACACCATATAGAAAAATCCTAGTGAGCATGTATGGGACAATATGCAAAATCAGGAATGAAAATCACCGAAACTAACTTTGTACTCCCTAAGTATTCACACTAAGGGTAGGTCAATACATCATGACCACCAAGAGAAATGAGCTCAAGAATGTACATAATATTTAATAGAAGAATTTTTTACGTATGGAAAATTATAATCCTCTTACAAATTTTCCTTTTCAGAACATGGACAATGTGCAGGTTCATAATTCAATCTAAGAAGCCTTATCTATACGTTAAAAATTCTTTCCCTTGAAAGAAATGATGCCTGGATCATAACACCTCTGTCATATGAGAAAAGAATTGTAGGGTGCAAATGAGTATTCACTGTTATATATAAAGCAGTTGGGAGCGTAGAAATATTCAATGCTAGACTTGTAGTGAAATGGTTCACTTAGACTTATGGGATCAACTATTAAGAAACATTGCACCAGTCGCGAAACTAAGCGAATGAGAGTATTGTTTCGTTGGCTGTCAACCAGAACTGTCATTTATATTAGCTAGACATTAAAATACATTTCTTAATGATGGTCACTGGTTTCTAGACATTAAAAATACATTTCTTAATGATGGTCACTAGTTTCCAGAATAATGGTCCTAAGTTTGAGTCCGACCTAATATTTTTTAAACTAAATAATCACCAGCTCCATGAGTTAAATTTGGTCTATAATTCACCACACAGTTTTTGTGAAAGAAGTGTTCATAGAGATATCTCCAGGATTAAAGAACAATACGAATAATCAGCTAGTGTGCAAACTAAATAAATCATTGTATGGGTTAAAACAATCTCCTGGACCATAGTTTGAAAGGTTCATCAAGACTAGTTTTGTCAATGGGTACTATTAGTGGCATGCTGATCACACTTTATTGTGAAATTAAATCAAGAAGGTCCATCCTTATTGCATATAGATGATATTATTCTTACAGGAAATGACATAAGGGAACTTGAAATAATTAAAAGAATAATGACTACTTAGTTTGAAATGTATGATCTTGAAATTTTAAGATACCTCTTGGAAATAGAAGTAGCTAAATCAAAGGAAGGTTCTGTCATATCCTAGAGAAAATATATCCTTGACTTATTTAAGGTGACTGAAACGTTGAGATGCAAACCGACAGATATATCAACGAGCTTCAAAAGAAGAGAATATCACCCCAATTGAAAAATGGAGGTTTCAAAGACTTATGAGAAAACTTATTTATCTGTCACATAGAAGACTTGACATTACTTTTTCTGTGGATGTAGTGAGCCGATATATGAACGATCCAAATGAAGATCATTTAAAAGCGGACTTTCAAATCTTAAGATACCTAAAGATGACTTCAGGATTTGGATTGATATTCAAGAAGACTAAGAATCGTAATAGTGAGATCTACATTGATTCTCGTTGGGCGGAAGTATTGACTGATAGAAGATCTATCACAAATTAGTATTCATTGGTATGGGTAACCTTGTTACTTGAGAATTAAAAAAACAAGCTGTGGTGGTAATAAGTAGTGCACAATTTTAGTATTGTGTCTTGCCCTTAGGAAATTGAAAAGGAATGTGGCTAAATAAACTACTGGTGGAACTTCACATGGAAAACCAAAACACTATTAAGATGTTCAGTGATAATCAATCAATCATAGGTATTTCAAAGAATCCGATACATCTCATAGGTATTTCAAAGAATCTGATACATCACGACCGAACTAAACATATAGAGATTGACAAACACTTCATCTTTGAGAAGGTCAATGGTTGGGTTATTCAGCTATGCTATGTCCCAACTCCGTATCACATTGTTGGCATTCTTAGTAAAGCTTTTCCTTGGCACCACTTCAGTGATCTAAGCAATAAGTTTATGATATATAAAATATACAACCCAACGTGAGGGGAAGTGTTGATATATATTTCCGGTTCAGGAAACCATTGGTTTGGTGTTACATTTGAGGAGGAGAAATTATTCTCCCTTAATTATCCATTACTGTGTTTTTATTTCTTTCTTTTTCATCGCAATATTTTATTTTACCTCCAATTGTAATAAGGGTTAGTCTATGTTGTATATATATTTGTTATTTATTTAATGAGAAAATTATAGAGTTTTTTCCTCCAAAAATCTACAGGAAGCATAATTATACATATTGCCAAGCGCAGAAAGAATGATTGAACTCATATTCTCAATTGAATTCAAGTTTTTGAGTTCTTCTCAATTTTTATGAAACATTTGGTCTGCCTGTTCTATGCAGTTAATTTGGCGATCTCACACCACACCACTTGCAATTCTAACCCTTTTTATCCCTCACACTCATTACACTTCACCAACCCTTCTAATCCAAAAATTCACTGACCAAAAAATATCTCTAAACCAGCTAAAGCTCACACCTATTAACCAGTAACCACATTTGAAAATGACTTGATGCCGCCTTAGCACTCATTGATGCCTCTTTGAGGAGCCTCACCTCTTTTAGCCCTTAAAGTTCATTTTCAATTCCTACATTTTTAAGCGCCTGCCAACATCATTATTAAACCAACACTGGCTAATCTACCTAACTTCCCCCTCCAATACCTACAACTTCTCACTAACCCAACATACCCCTCCCACTACCAACGTTGTATTCAACCCAATTTATCTATTTATTGCCTCCAACCCTGTAATCATCATCTGCTATCATAAACCCTCCTCTTATTAATTATATTCCTGAACGTCAAACCCTATGCCTATCTTTGATCCTCCACTTCTCCCTACTCCACCTTTTTTAGCTCTCTATCCTCTCCTTTCCCAATTATTCTTTAAGTCCCAACAGACCTACCCAATCCACTGCGTCCACTACCCTACCCTATTCCACATTTCCATCCTCCCAAGTCCCAAACTAAAATTTAAGTTCTGCTTCAAATTGCATTCATTTAGTTCATACATTTGGTTGAGTAGATTAATGTTTGCTCCATCAAGTCACCTATGATCCTGGCAACTTTGTGCTATTTGGAGCTGATGCCGGCAAATACTATTACTTAGAGGTTCTGATTGAGATATATGTTTGGCAGACACTAACCAGTGCCACCTCCACCTCTTTTGTATCTGCCATCTCGAACTAATCAGGGCGGAGTTTTTGCTGCCCAGGGGAATGATGAAGTCGGATTGCTCTGATTCATAAATAATTGCTTGAATCAATTTACATTGTATTAGCGCTATGATCATTAGTCTTGTATTAGCTTCATGGTTATGGCCGCTTGCTAAATAAGGTTTGATGACTCAAGTGATGGTTTTTATGGATTAAGGAAAACCCTCCTTCAACTTATTATTTATTCTATTCAGCTCTTCCTTCTGTCTTTCTAGCCAAACCATGGTTTTTTTCTTCTATTTCTCCTCTTACCACCACCACCCCCAACCCTCACCCCCACCTGCTCTATTATTCGACACAGCTTAGCATAACAAGCTCCTTTCAGAGGAACGCTAGTAAAATTCCCTTTTCTCCTTTTACTGTAGCTTTCATTAGGCTCCTATAGCTTCCTCTTCATCTCCATGGTTGTTTCAGAAATGTGTGCGGAGATAATTTGCAGTTGAGTGATCAACTGCCATCAGATCAATCTTGGCTTTCAGCACATAGGCAGCGTTTCAAATTCATTGCAAGAATAGCCCGAATTTAAAAATCTTTTGTCCATACAAAATAAGTCTTGTTTTTATACATGGTTATTTCAGAAATGTGAGTGGAGATAAGATGCAGTAGAGTGATCCACTGCAATCAGATCAATCTTGGCTTTCAGCATATAGGCAGCGTCTCAAATTCATTGCAAGAATAGCCTGAATTTAAATATCTTTTGTCAATACAAAATGACTCTTGTTTTATACATGGTTTTTTTAGATATGTGAGTGGAGATAAGATGCAGTTGAGTGATCCACTGCCATCAGATCAATCTTGGTTTTCAGCACATAGGCAGCGTCTCAAATTCATTGCAAGAATAGCCTGAATCTAAAAATCTTGTGTCAATACAAAATAACTCTTGTTTTTATATGATTTTCATTTTGTCTCAATGCAGCGACAATGAAAGCACTATTTAAAATGAACAAAAACAATTATTATCTTCTTGTAGATGTTTGGCATTATAATTTATGATGAAGCAATTTATAATAAGATGCATTCTATTATACCTGCAGGGTAAGAAGAACCCTGGCACTGATCGTCAATCTGTGGTACATTTTCTTGTTCAAGTAATGAAAGCAAGGGAAATAAAAATTGATAGGTGGATATGCGTGATGATTTTAGCACATTTTGATTATAAAATGTTTGTTGTAAAATTATGAAATTTATTTGCTCAGAATAGGCCCAAATATTGCAAAAAAAAAAAGAAGAGAGTAGCTATTTGATATGAATATCAGTCATTTATTATTGCTTCATTCTTTTCTATTTCAGCTGGCATATAATCATGAGAATGCGAGCTCCCATAAAAGGCTCCTGTGATCCGATAGCTCCTCTAGAGTTGCCACATTCTTTGCATGCATTTCAACGTGTCTCACACACAGACTCTCTTAACGTGGTAAGTCTATTTCTCTGCAGTGACAAATTTGTATCAAAACTCCTACTGGAATTTTTTCAGCTTAGTGTTGCTTATTCTGGGATGCTTTAAAGCATTTTAACAGTGAATATACCTCTATTCAGTGGTGGGTTGCCTTATTTCACTTACTGTATTTTAATATTAGTAAAAGCTTGATTAAGCCATCTTGCCCTTATATTATTATTTTTTTAACCATTTAGCCCTCATACCAGATTCATGGCTGTCTTCTCATACCAAATATGCGAACTAGCAGATTTAGTCATTATTGTTGTGTTTTTTAGTATGATAATTCCATTTCCTTTTTTCTTATATCAGGAAGGTTACCATACATTTCGTGGTGGATTTTGGAACTATTTCAGCATGGGTAAGATTTTTCAGTTGACAATTATTCAACAAATACAAGTACTTATCACTCTTAAATTCATGATTTTGCGTTTGTCTTAGGCCATTGAAAAACTCTTTTTATGAACAACTTGTTGCTGCTTGTTGAGACCCAAAGGTGCCTTTTAGTAACGAGCTAGCTGGATCTCTAAGACTTTGCCTTCATAGCATGTTAGTTTTCATGAAACTGTTCGAGTGCCAGATTCACTGTTAGAGGTGATATTGAGTCAACATATGCTCATACTGGCATTTGGATCTTCCAACAATTTTGTAATTCCAACAATTTTAATTCATATGTGCTGTTTTGTATTTTTTGTCCAATGAATTTCTCTTTTGCAAGAAATTTATTCTACAGTGAATGAACCTGCCAACCTGGTACTTCACACCTAAAATATTGCATATTTATTTTTCGATTAGCTAACCTCGTAAGTCATGAAACTGAAATTTATTTGTTGACATTGTTGTATGACTTAAGATATTGATTTGGCATACAAGGGCTATCATTTGCTTAATTAATAGGATAAGCGTGTAGGATAACTTAAAACCCTTGCTTGATGCTGGTTGTTTGTACCAATTTAAATTTTGCGTTGAGCAACCTAAGCAGAATGTTGGAAAATTAATATTCATTTTGTTTTTTGCTCAACACATTGGATGAAATTCCCTTTAGTAGTAGCTCTATGTCTCTTTGCAGGAATGGATGCCCAAGTGTCATATGCGTTTCACTCTGAGAGGAAGCTGCATCCTGAGAGGTTCAAGAACCAGTTAGTTAATCAGGTAATACTTCATTGATGTTTCTTTTTCTTGCACTAGGTTTCTCCACTTTTTTTTTTTTGGCACTAGGTTTCTCCTTTTTTTAATTTTAGCTGTATTCTGACATCACAAATACTATTTGGAAGCCATAATCCAGTATCTTATATAGACGGTCTGTCGAGAGCAGTATCCCTCATGGATCCCTTATTTATGGGTTCCCGATATCCCGAGCACACTCTTTTTGTTGCCTAATATCGTAACACCAATTACCCATTTTTGGGGCATTTACATACATAGCATGACACAGTTCCTATGTATTTACATCTCTCATTCCTAAACTTTCATATTTAAACACACTGCACTCAAAACTTTAATATCACATTAAAAATACCGCTATTACCACATTTTAAAAGTGAAATATTGTATTTTCATTAATTAAAGATCAAAAGGTTACAAAATATGCAAGTATGCATCTATGATGTACACAAATATGATCTATCCTTTCTAAGTATGGTAGAGAGAGCACTATGGTCGTCTACATGCGTTGACAAAAAAGAACCATGCAGAGCTATGTAGGCACAAGCATTTGCCACTCTATTGAATTACTTAGGAATGTGGAAAAAAGGAAGTTGTTTGAACATAGTAAGAAAATCAAAATTCGGTGCCACGCATGGTAGTTGTTGCCAATTCTCTTTTTTCATGGTGGCTTGCAAAAAACTAATAATATTGGCATTGTCTCCCTTGATGATGGTTCCATTGCACTCATACATCCATGGTTCATAGATTGGTTGGAAGGAAAAGACGGCCCGAAGTTCTACATATCCACTGCCCTAATGCTTAAAATGCTGTCCCTTGTCCTTGTTCATCAAGAATAATAGTGCCATGCTGGCAACATCTGAGGGTAGAAGGGCCCATTGACATTCACTTTAAGCTCCGGGAGGGGGAGGGAGAATTGTTATTTTGACCCCCAATTAATGAACTAAGGAAAAAGGGCATTTTTGTATTGTGGCACCGCCACCTACCACATCTCACCTACTGCTCACCTACCGGCCACCTACCTCCCACCTACCACTCTATTGCTTCTATAAATAGAGAGGGTGTGAGACTTAGATTAAATAGGGAGAAGAGATCTTAAGCTACCACAAAGGAGGAGAGAATAACTATAGAGTTAGAGAGGAGGAGAGCATCTCGAGGCCTTGTATCAAGGTGTCGCTTGAGAGGGAGGCCATAGAAGGAAGATGAGGGCTCATCTTAATGTATAAATTATGTATTCTCCATTTCTTTTGCCTTAGTGAAATATTTGATTGATTCCCTCCCGTCTACGTAGATCCAGTTGGATCGAACCACGTAAACGATCTGTGTTTGCTTGTGTTCTTTTTCGTCTCATTTCTATGCCAAAAAGTGCATATCTCACAACAATTGACGCCGTCTGTGGGAAGATCCATACTTCTTGGCTAGAGGTGTCCGCGTAAAGGTGTTCGCGGCCAGCGACAAAGAAGAGGAGTTTGACATTCACGAACAGAGGAGCAAGCGGATCGCGCCGCAGGCAGCCGAATCGCGACAGATTCGGTGAGCAGTTGAGAGCCGGAGGAGAAACTGTCCGCGAAGGAGCAGAGGTAGGCGGGTAGTTCGGTCCGCGAAGGAGGAGGATTTCCCCGACAGCTAGCACACGCTGCGACAGAAGCACGCCACGACAGCTCTCGGAATTCAGTAGGTGTTCAGCAAAGCGGACTTCAGACGTTATTGGGGATCAAGCCACAATAATGGGTTCCGCCAAATTTGACATTGAGAAATTCAACGGTAATAATGATTTCGGTCTATGGAGAGTAAAAATGAGAGCTCTATTGGTTCAGCAAGGTGTTGCAGAAGCCTTGCAAGGGTCGGCGGCATTGCCGGCTGACATGACCGAGAAGGAGAAGATCGGCATG